TGATGTGTGTGTGTTTTTGAGCCAATTGATTGGTTCTAGAGATTTCCATCCCTCCAAAGAAACAATTCGCGGAATTACTTTATATAGTGGACTACCCTCATATCACATGGATACCTTCAGCAAACAGTATCAATGTGTCACGTACTGTGAAACAGTTAATTAGATTCCAGGATAGAATTTACGGAGTTCAATCACAGATATTTAAGCTCGGATGCTCATTCCAATTCCAGTTTATAGATCTTTGAAACTAAGCAATTATAAATGTCAGAATGGTTATGAATTTGGTCAATTTATAATCAGGCTGAAGAACTATCCGTGGAATTAACTCCTCCAAAACCCAAGTAAAAAGGTTGTTTTCCGCAAAGTAACGCTTAGCATAATTTTGTCACTTCATTCTACAAAAGGAGTGTAAAATACGTCAGGACGAAGTGAGCCACAGGAAATGGTCAGATGTATTCCGAATTTCAGGATTCAACAAAAACCGGTGGCTCACCATTTGCTGAATTTCAAGTCTTTTTTCGAGGTGCTCACTGTCCCGAGTCATCGGGTTCCTCACACCAGCCCTATAATTCAGGTACTCGACGGGAGTGTTGGGTATGAAGACGTCGACTGCCAGTGTAATCGAGGTCAGTTGGAGTGGCGAGCGTGGGACAAGGGCAACTGTAAGAAATAATTTGCAAAGATGATGCTACAAAGCGTCCTTCACGAGCCACAAGCACATGGTGTCACAACCTGGGGATATCTGCGAATTAATGCAAATAGGTTTGATTACTTCAAATTTCAGAATTCCTTTTCAAGTTGATTGCATTGCTCCTTCGAAGTGTGCACAGTTTGATTGAGATTTTCATGTCAAAGTACAGTAAGTATGGAATGCCTGCTGAGTTCAAAATGCTTACTTTGCTTCCATATAGTTACATTTACCTCCTTTGTCACAATCAGCTCTAAGCAACAGTTTTAAATTGTTACGGATCTAAATATGTAAATAAGAAGAGCTGTAGTAGTTGAAACAGACGCGATGACAAATCGCTTGGTCAATTTGCAAATAGGCTTACTTTAAATCTGTGACTGAAAGCGAATGTGCATTCTCCTGTGGTAGAATGTCAAGCAGACGTCCTTCGCTCAAGTATTGACGTATATGCCTAGATATGTCCCAGTTTTGTTTATGTACTTAACTACTTTTCAAAGTGAACGAATGCACACACATTCTAATTGCCTGTGTTGCTGTGGTTTCATTCATGGTAAAAGAAATAACCTCATATAACGGCAGGCGTTGACTACTTGAATAAGTCGCGCAAATCCACATCGACGTCCTCTTTGGAAATCCCTGCTTTGCTCAGTGGAATTGGTCTCGATCGATAAACGCGTAGTATCACTGGAAGTGTCTACTCACTTTTCAAAGTTATCGGTTTTGTCCTTTAAAATTTAGCGTGATTGCTGTTTAGCATCTCTATAACATGAGAGGTAAGCAGTGGTGTCAAGGGTCAGCCTTTCAATTCGTGGTCGGCTTGAACCTTCAAAGCCTTAAAAGTCAATTAGTTAATCTAGAAATTGAAATTTCATTTCTTGCTGAGCAAAGTATAACTCATACGACTGCCACATGTGCTTTTCAAGTTTCCTTGTACCTAATGTTGCGTTGAGGACGCAAATTTGCGCTATGACGAATATTGTGGTCCAGGTAGACAACCTGGTGACAGAGAACGAACTTGGTTACAGGAGATGACAATTTAATCGAGGCATACATGATAAGACTGGAACATGTCTTGTAAAAGGACTGAATCAGGTTGAGCTTACAGACGTTATCGCCAACTTCAAAGGTCAGAGAGACAGTCGTGCTTGTCTGGTCAATTGATGTCGCGTTTCCTGTTAGCATAGCTTCCTGCCCAATGGGGAGGCCAGTTTCAATTCGTCTGACCTCAGCACATGTGCTGTCCAGTCTTATTTTAACCTAAAATGCAGTATTAATAGTGGCTAAATATTTGAAGCGATCCAGATCTTCATGCATATCAGAAAATGAGTCTGAGTTCACAGGAGACATCATAACTATTTGGCATATCCGGTGAATCGATGCTGTATATCTGTGTCTGAATCAGAAAATCTGTGGGGATTGACTAGAAATAAGCCCTTTGTGAAGTGGCTGGAAGGCTGTGAATGCAATTCACTTAAAATTTGCTCAAATTAATGAATATTTTATCAAAACAAATTTCAATGGAAGTCTATTTCTTCTTTGTAAATGATCAACTCGGACATCAATTCTGTTGCGCCAATCAGCGTGCGCAAGCATAGCAAGGCGTTCTTCAAATGGACTAGCCTTGGGACCGCAGATTCAAACAATGACTCCTGCAGACCAATTGGATTTTTTTAAATTGAAAATGAACCTCCGAGCACTAAGAAATTTATACCATTCCAATGAGGAGTTGTTTTTAGCTGGTTTGGGCGAAGTCAATTGAAATGTTATGTGGCGCCAAAACAAAATTCAAGGCAACAAAATCATTGCCGCTTCATCCGTAGATGGAAAGACAACTTGCCTCAGTAACACCGGCATTCAGTATTTGCAGTGCCCAAGTCAGTGTGTTAGTCGTGCTCGCAAAAAGGCCATTTCTATCGGATAATTCCACGAACAGGAATTCGGGGGGACTTTGAAGGTTTGTTCCTGAAATTGTCAAGGGCACTTGAAGTGACCCAGAGGACGCTGAGGTCAAGGAAACGAAGACCTCGAATTGGCATTTGAGTGGCAACAGCGGAGCTTGAATCGCAGGCGAAATTACCACTGCGAGAAGGTCTAGACGATTACATCCATTGCTGGCTGACACAAGCAGGTTTTTCAATGCCATCATTACCGTTCCCTTTAACGAAATTGTAAATGACAATAATTGGGTAAACGAAGAATTCGTGGAAGTGAACACGTTTGGATATTATCCCGTGACAATCTGTAGATATGATAATTGCTGCTTAGCAGGCCACACATAATCAAAGCAGAATCGATCTTTTTTGCATCAAAATTAGAATTTTTACTTTCAACTTTACATGAAACAACAGAGGGATGTTGAGGTTAACTTTGCTTCTTTGTTAAACTCTAACCTACATAAGGACATCGGATTAACTGAGAATTGTGCAGACTTCGCTGTCACCACAATGAGAATTAGAAGGCACAAGGCGAAGACACGCCAACGTTAGTGAAGGCTGGACATATTAATTAAACCACAACGCATTGCTATCTTTGTAAACGAAAATGTGTTGGTGTGTTTGAAGGCAAAATGCAACTGACTGTCAAATAAATAGACTAATGTCAACCTATGCGTTTTACAACAGAAATCAACCATTTGAAATTGGGTTCAATCTGCTAGGACCATTTTGGAACATTCACAAGCAATCGTGACAAAATTATATTTACCACTGTTAACGTTTGCAGTAAATGTTGAGTAAGTCAGCTTTCTTTTCACGCCACACGACTTAATCCTAATAGTGTTTCCAAAGTGACTTTATATGAGGAGATTGACAAATCCAGAGGCATGAGTGCACGGGTGCTCTACCTCAAGTAAACGTCATTTTGGAAAGCGCGATGCAATGTTAAAATTCAATTTAGCTTGAAATAAGCTTGGCATAACTAAGCAACATACCTCGGACTTCCTTTCGACTGTCAAGTCCCCGCCACTAAGGTCGATGCTGGGGGCTGCAAAGGTTATTCCGGCGACGTGGATGGTACTGCCCCTGAGCAAGCGTCCTTTTTGGAATGGTCCTTGAAGACGCAGAAAGCTATTTGTGGTGTTGCCCACCGGGAGGCATAGTTGGATCGTGAACTTCGTTCCATGTCCTGAGATGGCCCTTAACGTGCCCGATGGTTCAATGGTCAAAGGTAGAGGAATAGGTCGACCATGGAGGTCAAACTGCCGAAATATAGAGTGGGAATATTCACAATAAGCTAGAATTTCTCACGCATGACCCCACTTCAACACAAAATTTATTTTTGGATATCGAGGCACTTGTGTCATCAAACTAGGCGAAACGGTCATCTTACAAGCTTTATCTGTGCCCTAAAACCTCTCTCTAATGCCGTTGCAGGTAGCTGTAAAAATGTTTTGAGGACCTAATTAACTACTGCGATATTGATGTTGTTGCAATTTCCTAAATGTCTTTGGCATTAATGGCAAAATTTTAATCAGTTGTTTAAATGATTCACATTGCCGGATTTAATGTCAAGTCTAGGGGCAGAATAATTCTGGTAAAACGGTTAGTACATACGTCTGACGGCACCTCAAAAAATCCATATGGAGGTCCATTCACCACTGTCACCCGCGTCGATCCATTAGCCTCATGGAATTCACCGTAGTTCCTCGCCACCACAGTGAAGGACGCCGATCCGATGGACTTCCATTCTTCAAAATCAGTCTCCGAGTTGAAGTAAATGTCCCC